GCTTCTGGAGGGATGGCGGCTGTGGGGCGGGGTCCCCTGGCGAGTGGAGGGACCTGGAGGGGGAGGGGGGACTGGGAAGCAGTGGGGAGGGGAGCTAGGCTAACGACGGGCAGAGGGGGCCTCAGGGCTGGGCCTAGATCCTCCACTTGGGGGTGCGTCACCCCATCCCGAGGGGTCACTCACACGCTCCTTTGCCTCCGTGCCAGCCGCCTACCCCGCTGCCTACGGGCTGGTGAGCCCGGCCTTCCCCCAGCAGCCCGTCCCCCCAGGACTTCCTAGGCCCCCCCAACACTGTCCACCTGAAACCGCGCCCAGCTCTGGCGCCTGGGCCCCTCACATCTCTTGTCAATGCCAAGAGCCCTACCCTAGTGCCAATCCGTAGCAGAGGGTTTCACTGGGCACTTTAAGGACCCCCACATCTTTCCAGGGGACCCCAACACTTCCCAGGGGGAGACCAGAGTCCCCCCAGGACTTCCTAGGCCCCCCCAACACTGTCCACCTGAAACCGCGCCCAGCTCTGGCGCCTGGGCCCCTCACATCTCTTGTCAATGCCAAGAGCCCTACCCTAGTGCCAATCCGTAGCAGAGGGTTTCACTGGGCACTTTAAGGACCCCCACATCTTTCCAGGGGACCCCAACACTTCCCAGGGGGAGACCAGAGCATGGGATTGCTACAGGGATCCAGAATGAGAGGATCTAGAGTGGTCTAGAACATGAGAGGGTCCAGAGCAATGGGGCTTTAGAGGGGTCCAGATTGGGGCAGAATGAGGCATCTAGAACGTGAGTCCAGAACAGGGAGGTCCAGACTGAAGGGCCTAGAATGGGGGGAAAGGTCCAGAGCAGGGGGAGCTAGAGGGCCAAGGATGTGGGAGTCCATGGTAACAGGCTATAGAGTGATCTAGAACAGGGAGTCCAGAGGGGGACAGTCCGGAATGGGGCATCCAGAATGCAGGGTATTGAAGGATCCAGAATGGGAGGTCCAGCACAGAAGGCTCTAGAGGGTGCACAGTGGGGAGGATCTAGAATGGGGGGCAGCTTGGGGGATCTAGAACTGGGGCCCAACATGATGGAGCTAGAATGTGGCCCCCGCATGGTGGTCTAGTCCAGGGACCCAGTGTCCACGGGGGGGGGATTTAAGGGAACCCAGGGCAGGCAATGCCCTGAACCCCCGTCCCCTCTCACCTGCCTCCTCCCCACAGGCCCCGAGGGCTGTAACATCTTCATCTACCACCTGCCCCAGGAGTTCACTGACTCCGAGATCCTGCAGATGTTCCTGCCCTTCGGGAACGTCATCTCTGCCAAAGTCTTCGTGGATCGGGCAACCAATCAGAGCAAATGTTTTGGTAAGGCCAGCCCATGGGACCTCCCGCTGAGCCCCAGAAGCACCCAATGGGTGCCAGGGCGAGGGGCCGGCCTCCCAGGCAACGGACTGGTGCAGCCGCGCGTGGAGACAGGGTCTGGCGCTGAGCCGGCTTCCCCAGCGGATCTGCCCACACCAGGGCTCTGCTAGCCCCTTCTGTGCCCCACGCTGGCTGGCATCAGGCACCCTCCAGCTCCCACCGATAGAGGCTCCCAGGCCCGAGCCTCAGGGAGCAGATCCCGTCTCCCGGCCCCCAGGGTGGCTGGGCACGAGGTGACTCCTGAGTGCAGAGCTGCCCACCCTGAGTCAGGCGCCCACGGGACAAAGCCGGGCCTGGTGTGCAGGGGGCACGGGCTGGTTGGGTCTCCCGGGGTCACTCCGCCTCTTTACCCCACCCCGGCTCCCCCCTCCCTCACTCCCATCTTCTCCCCAGGGTTCGTAAGTTTCGACAATCCTGCCAGCGCCCAGGCTGCCATCCAGGCTATGAACGGCTTCCAGATCGGCATGAAGCGCCTGAAAGTGCAGCTCAAGCGACCGAAAGACGCCAACCGGCCGTACTAAGGCCCCAGGTGGGTGCCCCCCGAGCACAGGGACCTCCCAGATGCAGCAGGCCGGGCTGGGGAGCTGCAGCGTAATGGGAGTGTGCGGGGGGTGGGGCTGCCTCCTGCTGGATGGAGTCTCCCAGGGTAACATCTCCACCCAGGCCCCAGGCCGGGCGTCTCCACTCTCAGGGTGTACGTCCCTGCAGGAGGGAGACAAGGGCCCCCGAAAATCCTAGCAGGAATTTCACAGTTTGATTTCAAACCAGGGGAAACTGTCAGTGACATGTTTGTGATTCTCCCACTACACAGGCACACGCAGGTACACACATGGACACATGCAGGTACACGCAGGTACACACAGGAACACACATGGACACATGCAGGTACACGCATGGGCACATGCAGGTACACACCTGGGCACAAGCAGGAACACGCATGGACACATGCAGGCACACACATGGACACATGCAGGTACACACATGGACACATGCAGGTACACACATGGGCACAAGCAGGAACACACATGGACACATGCAGGTACACGCATGGACACATGCAGGCACACACATGGGTACATGCAGGTACACACATGGACACATGCAGGTACACACATGGGCATACACAGATTCCCACCCGAGCAAGTAGACAGACATATGCACAAGGGCACACACAGATACACGCACGGGGCACACATAAGCACAGGGGCTCACACATTTACACACACACGGGCACACACATACGCGGGTGCACACAAATACATGCATATTGGCGCACACGCGTGGGTGCACATGCATCTACAGATAAGAACACAAGAACGGCCAGGCTGGGTCAGACCAAAGCTCCGTCTAACCCAGGGTCCTGTCTTCTGACAGTGGCCAGTGCCAGGTGCTTCACAGGGACTGAACAGAGTAGGCACAGGCATATACACATGCCCACAGGTACACACATGGGCTCTGTCTAGACTGGCATGATTTTCCGGAAATGCTTTTAACAGAAAAGTTTTCCGTTAAAGCATTTTCGGAACACTTTTCCGCAAAAGCACTTTTTGCAGAAAAGCGTCCGTGGCCAATCTAGACGCTCTTTTCCGCAAAAAAGCCCCGATCGCCATTTTCGCGATCGGGGCTTTTTTGCGCAAAACAAATCTGAGCTGTCCACACTGGCCCTTTTGCGCAAAACTTTTGCGCAAAAGGACTTTTGCCCGAACGGGAGCAGCATAGTATTTCCGCAAGAACACTGACAATCTTACATGAGATCGTCAGTGCTTTTGCGGAAATTCAAGCGGCCAGTGTAGACAGCGGGCAAGTTTTTCCGGAAAAGTGGCTGATTTTCCAGAAAAACTGGCCAGTCTAGACACAGCCATGGAGACACCTACATTCATGGGCAAACACATATTACATATCTATGCACACATATGCAGAGTACATGCAGCCATGCGCCCGGGGTGTCACACAGGGTCACACACATGCCCTGCACACACAGTTACACATGGTCTTGGGGACACACACATGCACTCATATATATCTACACACACAAGGGCTACGTTTAGACTGGCATGATTTTCCGGAAATGCTTTTAACGGAAAAGTTTTCCGTTAAAAGCATTTTCGGAAAAGCATGTCTAGATTGGCACGGACACTTTTCCGCAAAAGCACTTTCTGCGGAAAAGCGTCCGTGGCCAATCTAGACGCACTTTTGCGCAAAAAAAGCCCCGATCGCCATTTTCGCCATCGGGGCGTTTTTGCGCAAAACAAATCTGATCTGTCTACACTGGCCCTTTTGCGCAAAAGTTTTGCGCAAAAGGGACTTTTGCCCGAACGGGAGCAGCATAGTATTTCCGCAAGAAGCACTGATTTCTTACAGTAGGAAGTCAGTGCTTTTGCGGAAATTCAAGCGGCCAGTGTGGACAGCTGGCAAGTTTTTCCGGAAAAGCGGCTGATTTTCCGGAACGACTGGCCAGTCTAGACACAGTCAAGCCGTTCAAATAAGGAGCCGCTCCAGCACCCTCCCCCCAGCAGAGAGCAGAAATGCACACACTGCTCATGCATGTACACACACACACACACACACACACACTTTTATTATTTAGCAGCTGAGATCAAGGCAGGCCTGCACTGTGCTGGGCGCTGCACAAATGCAGAATGAACCACTATCCCGCGCCAGACCCCACAGTCTGACTCTCCGGGGGAGTAAATAACCCTGCAGCCTTTTATAGGGGGCAGAAGGTGAAAGCCCCACCCTGCTGCTTTCCCAGCAATCAAGACACACACACACACTTTTATTATTTAGCAGCTGAGATCAAGGCAGGCCTGCACTGTGCTGGGCGCTGCACAAATGCAGAATGAACCACTATCCCGCGCCAGACCCCACAGTCTGACTCTCCGGGGGAGTAAATAACCCTGCAGCCTTTTATAGGGGGCAGAAGGTGAAAGCCCCACCCTGCTGCTTTCCCAGCAATCAAGCTTTAAAGCAGTGATACTAAATCCCCCCCGCCCGCCCCTCGTCTATCTCAGAGATCCGCATAACAGAATTTCACCCTGTATTTTAAGAAAGAAGAACATAACCTCCCGCTAGCAGTTCTTTCCGGCTGTGCTGCACAGAGCCCTGTCTCAGCCAGGTGAAGACCCCCAGCGCGGCGTAGCGTGGGGCAAGGGGGGGTCTGTGTGTGTTGTGGCACGTGAACGCACCCCGCTTTTGTTCTGATACGTGTTCTCCGTGCGCGGTCTCACAGGGGCCCCTTCTCGTGCTGCATCCGTTTGGTTTGGGGGTTTTTTTGGTTTGGTTTTGCTTGTTCATATGTTTCGTGGTGTCTTTGTCATTGAACTTAGTTTCTTTTTTGCACATAAAAGAGACAGCGGGTCCAGTCATTTACCACCTGCTTCAGCTGGGGGAGGGGACTGCACCGGGTCGCAATGGCCGGTTCTAGTTCTTTAAGGATAGGCTGTGATCCGTATTGCATTAGCATTTAGAATCCAGCCAGAATGGGGGTGCCGTCGTGCCGGGCGCTGCCCAGAGCCCAGCCGAGATCAGTGCCCTGCCGAGCCTGGTGCTGCATAGACCTCAAGGCTCCATCGTGCCAGGCACTGCCCAGAGCCCAGCCGAGATCAGTGCCCTGCCGAGCCTGGTGCTGCATAGACCTCAAGGCTCCATCGTGCCAGGCGCTGCCCAGATCACAACCGAGATCAGGGCTCCATCGTGCCAGGCGCTGCCCAGATCACAACCGAGATCAGGGCTCCATCGTGCCAGGCGCTGCCCAGATCACAACCGAGATCAGGGCTCCATCGTGCCAGGCGCTGCCCAGATCACAACCGAGATCAGGGCTCCATCGTGCCAGGCACTGCATACATGCAGTGAGGTACAGGTCCTGTCCCAAAGAGTTCACAGGCTAAGCCAGAGTGGGGCAAACTACGTCCCGTGAGCCACATCCGGCCTGGTGGCCCTTTCAGCCTGGGCTCTGAGCTCTGAGCTCGTGCAGGGAGGAGCAGCACGGCAAGCAGGGGCAGCTAGCTTCTGGCCTCCCCCACTTCTAGCCCCCCAGCCGCCCTCAGCGCCCCATGCCCCATGGTTGCAGCCGCCAGCCCTGCTGCTCCGGGCTGGGCAGTGAGGGGGGAGGGTTGGATAGAGGGTGGGAGTCCCAGGAGCAGTTGAGGGTCAAGGAGGGGTGGGGGTTGGATTGAATGCAGGGAACCCTGGGGGACACTGAGAGCATAGGGAGCAGGGGGGCGTTGGAGGTGGGTGGGGGCTGAGAGGGCAGGAGCCAGGCTACACACAGTCTCTTCCAGCCTCCCCTACATGGCCTTCCATACAATCGCCATGGCCCTCAGGCCAAAAAGTTTGCCCACCTCTGCTCTTTAATAGCCCAACCGTCAGGGGCGAGGCAGGATTCTTGGCCCCATTGAACAGATGAGCAAGTGGGCCGCAGAGCAGCAAAGCAACATGACCCGGGTCACCCAGGAAATCTGTGGCGGAGGAGGGAATTGCAGCCAGGCCCCTCCTTTGCTGCCCGCTGCCTCGAGAGCTCCCCGGGCCCTGTGCCCCCTGCACCCAATGGGCTTGCCGTCCCCTGGGCCACTCTGGGTGGCAGGAGGCCGGATCCAGGCTCAACGCCGGGACTGGGCCAGGCCCCAGCAGGGAACGGGGGGCCTGGAAGCGCGCAGGGCTGCTTTGTGGGGCGACGAGTCCTGGCGGTATCCAGGAGCAGGTGAAGGGGCTGAAAATTACCAACACGATCCGGGCTGGCAAGCAGCCTGAGGGCAAGCCCCCGGCTCCAACGCCCGCCCCAGGGTGG